CTTTTTATTATTAAACGATTTTTCTAGAACGCTTACTAAATAGGCTCCCGAAAAAAGTTTAGCGTCTCGATAAATCGACCTGTTTGAGTTAATAGAATTTTACGAATTCGTAAAGATAAACACTCGACAACGAACGACATTCAACGAATAAAAAAATGTTATTTCACCGCTTCATTTATGCAATTTTTACGTCATTGATTTTATCCTCGAGAAATGAATTTCTTATACATTTTACATTTTTTTTTTTTTTTTTTTGCGATAATATTAAAAAACTTCAGAACGAATATTCATAGAAGTTTATAAAAAGAATCTGGAAAACAAATTAGACGTTCGAAACTTTGTTGCGCCTAAAGCAACCAGTCTCGTCTGTTTGTATTGAAGATCGCGTTTTAAATGAACATTTTTTTATACATATGTGTGTACTGCTCGTACAAATATATTATATTATAACTTTGAGATCTACCTCAATAAATACCCGCACCGTGTCTCTTTCGACGCACATAATAAATAGAGCCGTATAAAAAATAAACCAAATGACCGACACAAACATTAGCCGTATAAAAGGTCTGTTGACACACCACATAAAAGCGCGTGGGCGTATATTATACGTCCAGTACCTTATGCAACATTATTGTGAACTAATCTTGAAATGCATTAACATCACAAAAACTAAAATATTACAATTTAATATTGTACGTCTTTCCGGTACATGTACAATGTTTCGATATTAACAAATATGATACATTACCACGTTTAAAAAAGTGGTTTTTTACCTTGTTCGAATAAAATTTCGTTTCACGACGTTTTTATTGCTTTTGTTTGCCATCTTAATTTTGCATTAACGCCGAGGTCAACTCATATTGTAATGCTACATACTTCAACTGCAAATTTCTAGTCAAAGTTTTTGAAAAATTATGACTATCCTTGATAGTTATCGAACCAGGTATTCATAATTTATTCAACCGTATGCAAAGATAATTCAATGTCTATTTTATAACAAAAAAAGAGAAAAATTTTAAACTAAAGTAACATTTTGTTAAAAAAAATCTAAATACTCTTATAAACTTGAATTTGCCGTGGGCCGGGCAAGCAGAACGACTTTCGATTGTTTATGTATTGTATCGGTGAGAACGTTAAATTGTTTGTCGCGACGGGACGTTAGCTTCATTAATTTCGAAATGAATAAATAAGAGTAACGACTTAAGTCATTGGCTTGAGTTCAACTGTAACTACTGGTCATGATGCATACGCACTGCCGGTCGCGTAGGAGTGGCACTCGACTGTAAAATATTTCACGTGTAAAAAAAGGGAAAAAATGCAATTGAAAAAGGAAAATAATAAACAACGCCGGTGCATTGATTTAATGCGATTAAAGAGACACGCGTACCTACGCAAAACGTACAATATTGTTTTATATTCGAATAAATAAACGCTGCCGAGGTCTGTGTGATAATATTGTTAAAGCACATGCCGTTTTCGGATCATTTCATTGCGACCCTCCGCATAAAAGTGCACGACAATATTAACAACGACAAAAGTGCACATCGATTACACATAAATAATTTTACAATGTATTTTAGCGTGTTGGTCGTCTGCGTTTGTGTCCGGTAAACAAATATCGTATTACATTTTTATTTGCTCCGCTGATTTATTGGTGTGTACAATTATGTTGAGTGCAATACAATAACTTACGTTGCACCGGATGGACATTGCAGCAAAGTCACAGTTCTTATTATTGCGCTGTATTTACATATTATTACATTATTTTAATGCTCTCGATGTGTGGCGGTATATTAATGCGATAAATATTTATGTAAAAAAAAAAAAAACATGGCCGATGGTATGCGCAACGATTAAAAACTCGAATGAATTAAAACGAGAAAAAACACGCTTCCAACGTAAATAACGGTTATGCGCATCCTTTTAAGTGCGTGTCCTATCCAATATAGACGGTCTGGGGCCATTGAGTTCGTGCGAGTGTGTCTCCTCTAAGATTAGTGTACCAGTTTAGATTGCAGACGAGACGACGACTGAGAAACCGTGAGAACCCACTTGGATTGGCCAAACAAAGTGATCACACGCTCGAAAACAGTAATTACGGTAGCAAAGAACATAATTAACACTACAATAAACCAGCCGTATCAAAAACTACTCTCGGTGGTAATTTGTTCTATGACTTGAATCGAATTGATAAACGTCAACAGGTCCGCCCATAATTTTAGCCATTTCCTAAGTCGTCGTTCGGATGGAATTACTCTGGTCCAGTCGAATGAGCTAAATAACAACAGTCTACAGTCATTTATTACTGAATTACATACTAATAATTACAAATAACAATACTATTTTTTACCGGTTATTTGCTTCAACGCAAATTAGTATCCATTTCAACAATTTTTTTAATCGCACTTTAAGTTGCACGTACACCAACGTCAATAAAACAAATATTTTTCAACCTCGTTCCAAATTCGGTAAATTCTATAGAATTAATAATAAAAATCACGTATGATTTAAATTAATAAATGGACAGTTTTATAATTTTTTTTTTTTTTGTTAATATTCTACGAAATATATTTATTTGATAGTGTCAAGATTAACTAAGATTGATGTACAAAAAGAATAATTTTATTGCCAATTGACCAATATGGTTTATTTTATAATATTAACTTTTCATAAATAACGTTCATAAAAATAATCAGTTGGTCATTAGGCGGCCTTGCGCGTTCACAACGCAAGTTCATGTTGTTTTCCTTTGATGGCATACATTTAATGTGGACAATATATTTTTTAAATAATAATCGTTTGCATGTGAGACTCTTTTATGTAGAAAAATTTATGTTTTTTGAACATTGACCCAGTTTTTTCTGAAAAAACATCAATACATCCAAGAATGCACGTGCCTTATATGCATCAAGAGAAAATGACGTGTTAACGATGCAACGTTTTACAAGATAAATTACACTACGAACATAAAGTTTTTATGTACCTTCGGTCTGTACGGGGGGTGTCATCTATTTAATAGTTCATACACTCTATTTAATAGACCGAGAAACCAGAGAAAATCGGTAGTAATGCGATTGCGACCGTGACATCATTTATAATGATCATATTCGGCGGTAGTCAAAGGTAGCCAAGGTACAAAAAAAAAAGGTATCAGATTAAAAAAAAATGACCTGTTGATGGTCAACGTCGACGACGACAACAACAACAACACCTAAGAGAGCAAATAAATCACTTAGTAGCTTTAATGATGCGCCGCCACCACCACAATCGGAAGATGAAACATCATAATAGTGTACCCCAAAAATGGTACACAATGAATACATCTCGTATAACCATCAGAGGCATTTTCGATTACTTGGGTGCTTGGCATGCATTTCACGGGGGTTAATGACTATGTATTAATAACAATGTAGGCGATCGTGTCGTCCGGCCTTAGGGAACACGCTTAACATAATACTTCTGAGTGTTGTCAAATGATCAAAGAGTAAAAAAAAAAAAAAAATAACGTAAAATGTAAATAATAAAAACGATATTTTCAGTGAGCTCTTCTTCCACCAAACCGCCGGTGACCACTGTTCTTAATGGTTCGTGCCCGGCCAAAACTCGTTTCCGTACAACACATGAATGCGATCTTCATAATGATCTTAGTCTCTGCATCCTCGTAACACATCATATCATTTCTGTGCGTGTGTACCAGAGAATTCCACGCGTTATAATTAATATAAACACTTGGCGAATCCCGACTACTTTTTGTAATCGTATCCGACTCATTGAGAAAATATTCAAATGATAATCTATGTCAGATGGCGTTTACATTGTTTAACACATTGACTGCGGACAGTCTTACAGTAATAATATTCAAGTGTAAATAAATATCTGATTAATCGACAATACAATGAAATATTAACAGAATTTGTTGGCAACAATGAATCAAACAACACACATTCTTAAAACTACTGATTATACACATAATATTAATTATCTAGTTCAAACGGTCGTTAAACGTAACCGAACGGATACGTGGAAAACAGACTACTGTGTTTGGTAAATTTTAAATTTAACGAACAAAAATTCAACCTAATCGTACTGCGAATAATTCATTTAAAAGCCGCGACATTCGTACGGTTTGTCAACTGATAATAACAAATCGAAATATCTGTAAACGACATATATGTGCGTGTACCGTGACCCTCCCCCCCCATGTGTAAATACGGCGCGGTGTAGGCGCTTATGGAACACACACAAGCTCCCAGCAAAGACTATTATTTCGGATATACGACTGTTACACACAAAATGGGACTTTTGGGCCGTTCATAAATTACAAACGAGTTGTGGGTAAAAATAAAAGTTTTATAATCACTCCGGGCGACCGTGTCATTATACGGCGAGCTGATTAAACAACAACAAATAATAAGAATTCCAAAGTTTGCGTGTGACCGCCGCACCGCGTTGTACACGTTGTGTACACTGCTACCGAGCGGCTTCCGTGTGCGCACCACGACATACGCATCGTCTGTGCACACACTGCGGTGTGCATAATGTTGTTGTACGAACTGGCGTGGCCAGTCCGCCGTACGCACACTAGTATAAATTCGAAGGATGACACGCCGTCACGACTGGGCGGCAGCCGCCACCGTAGCTCGGACGTCCTGCTGTGGAGTACACTGCCAGTGCCCGCTGAGCGCAGTCCGTCCTGTCCGCGGTGGGTGTCTCTGGGCACACATAAATAATTGTTTTCGCAGCACGGCAGCTGAAGCCTTTATAATACACTACACTCTTTATCGTTATCATCATCGTCTCCACTGTTGGCCGGTACAAATCTAATTCCTTGGCCGTGTACACTCTCAGTTCGAAAACCGAAATTTTAATCACAAACATTTAAATAAAATAATAATAAAAATGTGAAACAACAATTAATAACAACTAGACATTGTAGTTTTAATAATTAACGCTTTTTATTAATATATTATGTAATAATAATATTATATTATCCCCAAATTGCACTCTAAATCGAATAAAAATTTCACTATATATACACATGAATTATTATAATGATCTATACAATAAACAACATTTTATTTTATAAGCTATCACTAATATGTAAGTGTACCAAAAACTTATAAATACATAATTTTATTTATACTATTTACAAAAGAGAGGGGTAAATTATATAATAATAATAATATATAAATATATATAAGAGAAAAACAAACAATTATTTTATCAGATCAACAATATACAATAGCGGGTTAGAATATTTCATTTTATAATAATAAAAAAAAAAAATCTACATAGAACGGTAAAACTTTGTAAGTTTTCATAATAATAATTTAAATAGAAAATTTATAATATTTCGATCTCGGGTAAGAGTCTGAAGGCTGAACATCTTCTGTTGCTCGACTATCTGTAAAATATAAAAATACATTTAGTTGCTTAAGAAGTAAACAATTCAAGTAACTATTAATTAATTAATTTTACTATTAAGTTGTGCAATAAACATTAAGTTGTGTCGATATACTACTATCCAGTCAAACGATGATGAGGTATAAAGTTTAAGGTAACGGAGTTCAGGTAATAATGGTAGATGATTCTCGGCATATTTCACAACTTTTATTTATTTAGATAAACGTTATAAACATTTATGCAGACCAAATTTCAAATGTTAGGTAAAATATACGAACACCTGGTGAAATAATTTACCTTTGATAAGATTATTTTTTATGAAATTATTTTCAGTGTATTCCTCATTCTATTTTAGCTTTAGAAAGTATTAATAAAACTTTTAAACAGAGAATATTACATTGAAAATAGTAAATAAGAAATTTATACTGAGGATTAGATTGGACGATTAACAGTCAAGTTTTACATAAAATAAAAACCTTAAGACCTTCTGTTTATTTAAACACAATATAATATTTATTATTTTATAGTATTTCAATACGCTAGAAACACTCGGGTGTAATGTCTGTGCATGCTTTGTGCACAGACCTAACCCATTCACCACGATCTCGATCTCGGCTCATCTGTCAGTGTCAACACTTCCACTTCGAACCTCTTCTTTTCACTTCTCCTCCTCCCATAGCCGCGTATCATAATATATAGAAGTTTTCTTCGAATAAATTATACGCGCACCCCCTTCAACTCAATAATGATATGTGACTTTAAACAGTATGACATACATAGTCCCTAGGCTCGCGGCACGTTCTCGCTCTGAAATAATCACAGCTGACTGTATAGTAGTCCAGATTAATTTATTCGAGTTTGCTGTGTATATATTGGTACAAGCCAGCACTTATATATAATACGTTGTGGCACCTACCGTCTTATAAAAACAGATGCTGCTCCTATGTCGCGGCAACGTTTTTTTATACTGGTGAAACGTAACCATTCATTTGCTGTTGCTGTTGTTGCTGCTGCTGTTGAATCTGTTGTTGTTGAGAATGTGAGGGCCTAGTAGAAAAAAAATTACATTAAAAATCTATTCTAACTTGTACACTTTTTTGCAAATCATGTAAAAAACCTTACGTTTTATAAAAAGGTTTAAATGCTGTGTTAGCATCAGCATTGATCATCTGATGATTATTATTATTATTGGTATTGTTATTATTATTGTTGTTGTTGTGCTGACTATGCTGTTGTTGTTGCAGTGCGTTATTGTGTTGGTGTTGATGATATTGTACATCATGTTGTTGTGCAACCCCCGAAGTCGACCGAACGTCGTGCTGCTGCTGTTGAACGTGCTGCTGCTGTTGCTGCGATCGGTGATAGCCGTGCTGTTGCTGCTGATGGTGATGGTACCCATTGTAACCCTGATGGCTGAACTGCTGACCGGAAGAGGCGGACAACGGTAACTTCATGTTGGGCGGGGTTTGCGGTGGCGTGTCGGTTTGCACTTCAGGATATCCGGCCATTTGTTGTGCTGACGACGACGACGACGAATTACTACTGCCGCCATTGTAACCGTAAAACCCGTTCGCACCATACCTGTAAGAAACACCAATTAGTGCACCCATGATAGTAGTTGACGAAATGAACAAGCAGTAAATGTGTTGCTTTTACCTAGAGTATGATGATCCGGACGGAGACAAAGAAGAATTAGGCATGGTGAATCCCGGGGAAGCTAAGCTGGGACTTACGTTTGGCCATTGGTGGCCAGGTGGTGGGGTCTTGGAAGCGGCGGTGTCGGCCAGAGACCATATTTTGGGTTTGGTCGGTGGCAGCGGTATACCGCAGTCTTGATGATGATCGTTTTGCATGCCGTGATGACCTTTCATGTGGTGCATGTGATCAGAGTGATACAGGTGTTGAAGCATTGGCTTACGATCGTCATCGCCGTCTGACATCACTGACGCCGAGCCCATCATGTGGTCCACGTGATTATCTAAACACATATTAAATGGTTACAACTACACATTTCCAGTATCAAGGTAAAAAATATTGGTTTTATTTGCCCGAACCAAGCGACCCCAGTCTATAATGATCTATAATAATACAATCTAATCGCCGAGACCGTCTTTGGAAATAAATGCAAATCTGCTCACGAATTGCGAAGCATGTATTTCTGTCGAGCCGCAGAGAATACAGTCGAGATTCACACGGTGCGAAAAACATGACATCTTTATACGTTATAAGACGCGAGGAATAAATTATTGTATTATCATATATTACTTTTCTTTCTAACACTATGAGTGTGAAACGGATTGTCGTGACCGAGAGATGACCAAGATAAAGGAGGAAAGGCCCTACCGTTTTTGCAGTGCACAAACATGATCAGCCATGAATAAATAATATACAAGTGTGTATACAAATGGGCACGTCCCATAGGCGACAATGATTCATCCGGCAAATGGTCCAACACTATAACAGACTTTAATATAATACAACATTCCCTGGAGGTTCGAGTTTTTAAACGACTTCTGTGTCCCTACACATTAAAGGAGAAAAGCACTGGCTAATACGTTTATATTCAGTTAAAACGATATCGGGGTTGACGATGGTTTCATTAATAGCCTTCTAATGGTAATAAGGGGAACGATAGCGAGTAAAAGCTCTTATATAATTTTCGACTGCGAGGGCTGCTCCACAAGTGTCCAGGACGGAATACGAGGGTGGGTAAATAAACCGAGACGTGTCAATTATACTAATGCAATGTTTTTCCGCAAGCCAAAACTATTTCACTGACAACAACCCCTCGCCGCCACTATTATACCTTTTTTATGTTTTTCTTCGGTCATCAGCATGTCTTCTTTGTCTTTGTCTTCGCAATCGGACGATCCGGCGTCGTCGTCGTCGTCGTCTGTCTTGTTCTTGGGCTCCCAAGTCATTTTGTTCTCTTTCTTTAACCGCCTCCTCGCGTTGGCGAACCACGTACTCACTTGAGTCAAAGTCATTTTGGTAATGATGGCCAACATTATCTTTTCACCCTTGGTCGGGTACGGGTTCTTCTTGTGCTCGTTGAGCCACGACTTCAGTGTAGCCGTCGATTCACGGGTGGCGTTTTTACGTCTAGCCGCTAAATCGTATCCCGCACTGTACCTATAATACGAACAAAAGAATTAAAAAATTCAATTCACCAAAAGGCAGCAAATAGTAAAATTGGAGACGGGTACCGTTGCCGTGGGATTTATGTTTAGTACCGGTTAGATTTATACGTCCATTCGTGACCCCAGGACGTATAATTTACGGTCAATTCGTTCGTATAATATTTTATTATTGTTTTTGTCTCCCGCGGCATCTTTTTAAAAAATATATTACATTAACGCGAGTTTGAAATATTCGTGTGCCTCAATGAATCGAGTATCCCGCAGGTTTTTTCACAACTTGTCATCCGCGTAAATAAATATACACGAACTCATTACACCGTGTCAATATTAATAATTGGCAGTGCGTCAGCTCGACGTGTCTGAGTAGCAGCGTAGAAAATTCGTGATCAATAACAGTGCCGACTGTTTAAGGTAATGCTAATAGCGACGTACACCTGCCCGAGCGTTTTTAACGTAAAAATGCCAGTCGGTAGTAAATGATAAAAATCAATGTGCACACACAGAGCCTACAGAAGTAGAGGAGTATGTGTGTATAATAAAAGGCGGTCGTTTATTTCTTTATATGGCCGCACGGTGTATAACCGGTGCGTGACGGCTAAAGCAGCGGCCGTGGCGGTCGCGGTGGCGCCGAGTAATCGATATTATCGCCGGCCATTTTGTCTTAGGTTACTCGCACTGTACGCACGCAAGCGCCTTTACGCTTAGCGCGCACCGATATGTCACACACAACTAAACTCGGGAAATCCATACAATGTTAGAACAACAATATCGCATTTTANCAACTAAACTCGGGAAATCCATACAATGTTAGAACAACAATATCGCCACAGACTTTGTTTGTGTTTTTACTTACCCGTACGCTGCCAACGTCGAGTCGTAGTGATAGTAGCCCGTAGAAGGTTGCAGGCTAGCGGCGCTGGACCACATGTCCGACGATCCCGTCGAGTCTTTCAGTCCGTACGGATTGCTCTGGAAAAATAAACGACACAAATAAAATAAAGTATGGCGAAGACAACAACAACAACAAAGTTATTATTATTGTATCAGACGGCATTTGTGCGGGTCGGGCGGATGAGTTTGCACGAGGAGACGATCGCGGATCGAGCCCATAAATCTACGTGTAAAGAGAGACGACACAAGAGTACGGTGTAGGGGGCAGCATCCGAGCGGAAGAAGAACTGGTCGCCGGGTATCCATATAATCCTCACTATATCTGCTAGGACACCGCGACAGCACGACTTACCCAGGAGGTCCGGCCCGTCAACGTCAGTGTGCGTTTCGTAATCGTCATCGTCATGCGGTCGAATTACTAGAAAACCACGTTAATACAGGTCGTAAATCATTTGTATATATCGTGTCGCGATATTTCCCGCGTGGAATCATAAATCGAAGTGGTTCGAATAGTATTAATTTCTTCAAAAGTCGAGTAGATTTATGGGCAAAGGGTAGATAAAATATTATTTATAGAGCACGAAATATAGATGACATTAAATTGATAAAACTGGCTGCCCGGCTACTAAAAATCGTTTATTTTTAATAAAACGACGTATGCTAAAACGCACCAAAATCTACACAACATAATAAACGGCATAACAAATCCAGAACAGGTTTTTACGGTCGCAATGTTTTATGCATCTCTACTGTCTACGTACAGTCGAACCACAAGTTTATTTTATAGGCATGTCTGTGCGTAGAGACGAAATTATTACACTCTCTTTTGTACCGTTCGGATCTCGAGTAAGAAATTCATTGAACGGTCCAAACGAAAACGATATCGTTATCTCGTCTACAGTAATCGCTGTTAATAATAACGAGCTATTCAAAAACGATTCGATTATTGACGTTTAACTGCTATATAACGAAAATATCGAAATGCTAAAACTGAGGTGAACACATCGGCTGTTTGAATAATTTAACTAAAACACAGCCTGTAATTTCCCGCGCACTCCAATGCAAGTAAGTGTAATACACGTTTATGCATAATTCCAACAACCGGTTTATTGCAATTTAAATTAAACACAACAACTGTCTAAAAAGGAAACGTATTGTTGCGAATATTGTGCGAGACGCGTTCCATTCGGCTGGGTGGATAATCGTCGCCACCGTATAATACTATTAGGGGTTAAGTGTTAGATACGATTCCCTGGAGATTGTCGGGGCGTTATGAAGTAAGCCGTCACCCTGTGGGATCTACGCTTTTAATATTAAATATATATGCCCTATAATATGCACCACACCCTTTGTGTAACGTCAAGAATTTCACGGGTTCCCGAGTTTTGACTGCTGTCGAGAGACGAGACCAAACAATAAGTGTACTGGGGTGGCCGAGATAGCTCTATTGGCGTTTTGTGTTGGCAAAAACAAATTTAAACTCGACATATTCTCGACGCAATCAGTTCGTTTCGACAAGCGGCCCACTATTTCGTTATTAAATTAGATTTTTGACACTGAAGTCGTCGGCGATTGAAAAACCTGTGCCGACACGTAAAAAAGAAAAATCGGACAGTCGTTGTTACTTATAAAACATTTCAAAGAAGCGCATAATTTCGTAGACATAACGTCTCGCCCCGCAAGTTAATTTCAATTACACGTTTCCAAAACGAGTGGCTCCGCCGGATTATTCAAATTCGAGATAATACTTTCAACGGTGGTCGATTGTACACCGGATCGTTGCAGAATATTATGCGTATAACTTATAAACGTAAACAATGCATAATTATTATAATAAGTCCCGGTTGGATTACTCGGCGATTATTGTGTATAATTTGAATAATATTATCGTTGGTGCTGTTGTGACTTCTTACAAAGACACCAACGTAATTGCGGGATAAGTTCAAGGAACTCGGAATCAATTCGTGTAAGACCATACAAATCGAACGGTCTTTTGTGACCCGGCGCACAAGTGTTTACACAAAACTATGTGAAACCACAACGCCGAGGTCGCGAAAAGCTGACCGATACAAATCTATACCACACAATGTTCGCTACTAAAATATTTACATTGCAAAATATAATGTATTAATGTAATATTCACGAACATTTATTTGCCGTGCCGATTGGCATCGCGGGACGAGCAAACGAGAAGCGACCGGAAATCCGGTGGGAAATTATAAACGTCCGTTGCGTTCCCATGGAATGAGCGTTCACCGAATCGTTTTACATAACTGGCAATTTTTTTTCGCTCGCACGGGAATTTCAAGTGGCAAATCGCGGCCACTGTTGCGACCCTCCCCCGTGCGCTCTGTACGGAGGACCCTATACGGGGCTCTGTCGGATGTCCACGCCGCGTTGTGCGTTCACACGCATAAAAGAAAACCCATAGAGCGACGAACACGGTTAAGCTTTAAATGTCGGCACTTTTCCAAGTTACCTCGTTCCTTCTTTCGGCCTCAGGCACTCGGTCCCCGGGGTGGATCCCCCGCCCAAAAACATTTCACGTGCCTCCGTACACGTTCACACGTGCGGCGTCGCTACCGATTTGGCGACAGACGTTATGGATTTATGACGCGACAAGCTTTTAACGTGGTTGACATCCGCAGGGAAAATCTGCTGCAGTGTTTGAGAAATCACACCTGTTTGCATACCATCCCAGTTCGATTTCGTGTCGGCTGACGTTCAGTAGAGATTTTTGTACCGGAAGCAAATATAAAATGTTCTCGTTGTTTGATACGCATATTTTATAATACTTTGTACAAATATCAATGCCGCGGGGCATCAGAAGGATTTTATCGAATACAATAGAAACTTATCGCTCGTGTACACAAATATACAGCTGGACGTGTTATTCGCCTCTTCCCTCGTGTCCATTTAAAAAACAAATACTCTCAATACGTAAAATGTTGTACGTTTTGTGCGCTCGCCGCCCCCGCTCGCTCGTATTCGCATGTTAAAAAATATTACATTTTGGCTTGTGCGCGTGAAAGAATACGGCGGCACTAGTGGTGGTGGTAATTACTGTTGTCGTGCGGCACAACTAAGTGGCGTGACCGTGATTTCGACAAAACCACTGTGATTCGAGGGTAGTAACAACAGTGTCCCAACAACAACAAGGGTTAAAATTCTGTCCGCAAAAAACACACACGGCAATAAATTATATCGCTTTAAAATTATAACCGTAATTGCTCGCAACGTTGTGTTACCGTAGAACTCGTTCGACGTCGTTTTAATGACCGCGATAAAATTATTTCAAACGTTAACAGTAATAAATGACCTGCCCAGCCATTAGTGACGTTTATGTGTACACAGACATTGCCATCAACGGTAAGCTAACGACACCTTAACGCGGTATTTATTATCGACTGGATTTTCAAATTTTTCACACAAACAGTTACCGCAAAGTAGACTCGGAGCATATTGTTGTGTCCTGAGATTGCCGTTTGTTTTTCCCATCTCATTTCAACGTACGTTATGTTTGCTATTATTTTGTTCGCTCGTCGACAATTAGCGTTGTTGTAAAACGAGATACGCCGACATTTAATAGAATGATATCGTTATGTAAAACACACGGCGTGACGGTAGGCGAGCATGAGTTATGCCTGTACGTAAGCACAACCCAAGGCGAGGAGAGGGAAAGGCACACCATTAAAGTCGACATCGGGTCAATACGTTGTGGGAACTCGTATTACGGGAATGTTGTCTCTACGCGGTCATATATATATATATGCGGTCTGCACGTATACCAGCAGTACATGCGTTTAGTATTGTGATTGTGCCGTATATAGAGCATTATAGGAACGGAGCGGCAGCGAGTCGGTCGTGGCGCCAAACTCGGTCTCGAACACAACGTCGTCGTCACTCACATACGCATTTACATTATTATGTTGCACACAATTGTCCGGCTTTCAATCTTTCACCCGCCCAGTATAATACCTTTTATTCCACGAGGGTGGTCAGTGTATAAAAATATAAATCCCTTTTTGCGGCCAGTGTAAATCCGGTCGATACGTGACTGGAAATCGTGACTAAGGGTACGGAAACTCGGGGCGGGATGTGTTTTTACGAGGCGCCGACGACGACAGCACTCAAAAGCTCTGCACGCGGTCAATTCTAGAGGTCAATTCAATTTTTCCCCTTCATAGCAATGTATAGTGTGTACTCGGAAAATATTTTTTTATGGATATTGTCGGCAGAGAACCGAGGGGCTATAGCGTCTGTTCTGGTCGCCGCCACTCTAAAGCTGTTAGTTTATTGTGTCACGTTTATGTGCTTTGCGCGTTTCAGATTTCCACACGTGAAACGAAATCGTCCGACAACGTGACGAGAAGTGCAAATGTCCGCGGTGATTCAACGTTAATTGTGTAACGCGTACACTGACAAATTGATGTTTCAACAGTAGCAGCAAACGCATAGTAATTTATGTATGGTGGTACACGTAGGCAAATGCGCTGCGATTCATTATACTTGCCTCGGCGGCATTACGAGAGAGCACACACAGCGTGATGTTGCGTAGGCGTTCGCGGCATAATGCATTGAGTAAATACGATCATAATAATAATAATAATAATAATAATAATGTATAATGGCGAAAATAACATATCAATCAACGGACGGAACGCGTGACCATTATCGTACCCACTCGTCGCCGCCATATATAACAGAAGCTGCCACTGTGTTCATATGCTCGTCGATAGACCTCCCTCGGTTATTTTTCACACCGCGCTCACCGTTTATGACCCTCTTCGTACAATATAAAGTTCTAAGCTTCTCTTTTTCGCATTTTTCACTCTCTCTCCCCCAAAAAGCCTCTCGCGCACCCCGTCAATTTTCCGCTCGTTAATGAAGCCTCCGCCCGGGCAATTGCGGTTCCTTTATACACTCAATATTGGCGTACGCACAATCTCTACTTGGGGTGTACTCGCCGTATTACGAGGCAAGGAAACGGCGGCGGCAGTGGCCGTGACGGGAGTGGTGTTCGAAATCACCGCACCCCGCCCGTCGATAAATCACATCCCTCTTGCCCCCACCGCATTATACGCGTATAAAGCATTCCAAGCTAGCCTCCCCTCCCGCGCACAGTCGTCAACCGGATTGATTTATGAACGTTGCACTTGGCGAACGGCGCGCCGCCAAACTCTCGGCCCCTCAAATCCTTTTTATATAAATACATCCACTGCCGAATAATCGAATATAATTGATACCGGATTATACGGCCGGCTTGACTTATGGGCTTCCGTTTAAAAGGCCCATTTAAAAAATGTTACTGGATCCGTGAAATTACACCGCCGTGCTGCTCTATGGATACACCACGCCTTTTATTAAGTAAACAGCCGCATGGTAACTAACGCGTGACTAATTCGCAACATATAAGGTCGACATATAATCGTGTACATAAAAATTACTGACCGGCAACAATCATCTTTAATTTTTTTTTTCCCGGAGAACACGAAAAATGTATGTTTTTTTATGTATATTTCAATAATGTGTAATGTCGAACCGCATGTGTTGTGTTCCGATACAAAACAATCAATGCGATTGTCAGGGTTGCGCAGACTGTCATTGGCAAAACTTACCAGGTGAGGGTAGAACGTCGAAGTGTCTATGCTCGCGTACGGGTTCTGGTCGGTGGACGGATAAGGGGTGTAAACCGCTGCCGATGCTGGTGTGGTCCGGCTGGCGTAGTGTGAAGCTGCGGCGGTCAGTTGGCACGAGCAGACCACGGCCGATTCGGAACCGGCACCCCTGTCTCCGGCAGCGGTGCAACACGTGCCGCAACCCGCAGCACCCATAGCGTCCGGTGAAAGTCCTCCGGCGCCTCCACCGCCGGCAGCCAACGGAGGTGATACCGAATCTCCCGTCATGACGCTCTGAAAAAAACAACACGACCTATTAATGGGAAAATCATAGAAGTTGTGTTGACACTAGTGAATAAGTTGAACAGAATTTGGTCCTTTTCGAAATCAATACAAATGTTGGCGATAATTTAGTTGAAAATAAAAAACAAATTCCATAAAGCGTCATTATTTCAAAAGAGCGTTTTGATTTCAGTCTCTTGTGCGGTGTACATTTTATAGATTATGGTGTTACTAGCTAGACAAGGTGCACATGATAATTTTAATTGCTGCTGCTATTCGATACTCTCCTGGCCCAGACCGGTTGTGAGGTGTGAACTCCAAAGCGCTTCGGGTTTTTTTTTTTTCGAGAAAGGTATCAACTCGACCGCAAAAACCAATAGACCGGAATGACCAGCCGTAGAGAGGACAATAATGAAAATATTAGAACAATACTCAAACCACACCCGTACAGCGGACCCGGCGCTCGTTTCATGTGTTACTTGGAAGACGTAAACGCGACCCGACGTATTTAGTCTCTGTACCCGTTTGACAGTTATCAATTATAATATTATATCTAGTCAGCTATACCACTTAATAAGATTATTTATAGTGTTCCGCGCACACTAAGCTTTTAAGTCTTATTCTGTACTTCATTCGAACGAAAATGATATTTTTATTTGTAAAAACTTAAAAATATATTTTTATACAACAATGTTAAACGTATCTATTGCAATTTTTTCTGTGCTAAAAACTCTAGAGGGTTGGCTTGTGCCTGCCTAAGCATAATAAAACTCTTATAATTTATATATGCAGCGTAGTAGTTCATAAATATTTATTAACCCGTTTTTGTAGGTCTCTGCATGAGCTCTACTCTATGCCTATGGAAATTACAATATATCATATGGCATGTATTCCGATCTCAGTACTGATAAAATACCCTTGTGTAATGCCACGAAATATAAATGTGTTTAATAATTTTGCGACTTCCCTAAATATATTTGTATAAATTTAAAATTGTTTTAATTTCATTCATTATGCGTAAATTGCGAATAGTAATTCGACCGATCTAAAGTTGAATTATCCTTTGTTAAANGACCGATCTGAAGTTGAATTATCCTTTGATAACGTTTTAAAAATTTAAGTAAAAGTATAAATGTGTTTTGTAAATGTAAAGATTGTTAAAATGCAAAACCTAAGGAATTTTCGGTAAACACATAAACAAACAGTGAAACGATATTGTAATGTTGTTTTTAGTAGTGACGGTCAATGTAAAAATGAATAATAGTTGTGTTCTTTTTTTGTTTGTTCTTAATGTCCTCCCGGGACGGAGAGAGAATTACTGTTGACACATTGCTAACATACTTCTACGGTCCCACACAACAAAACGAGAAATATATGAGTTCATTGTTATAAAATAATATGAAAACGTTGAAATTATTATCATACGGGCCGTTTTTTATATTGTTATTTATTACATTTTTTAAGATAATACATTTTTTTTGACTTTTAACGACTTCTTATTACTAGGTATACTTTTATTTAGATCCATTAACTATGACAAACGCCGTCTAAATATAGATCAGTTTCTTTTTTTTACAGGAATGTGTTAAAAATAAATGTTCATAGTTAACAATTAAAGTATCGTATTAATTGTTTAAATTACAGTATGGTTTTTATAATATATAATTAAACAAGAGAATTTATTTTGCTCGAACATTGTATTCATATATATTATTATACAGAACGCAGTAAACCATAAATATTCAATTAGAGTTAAAGAACAAAAAAAAAAAAATGAACGAAATTAGCAATTTTGATTATTAATCACGACTGACCCTTGTTGATATTGCTCTAATGAATAGATTCAATTAACGATCAAAAAACTCAGTCTGGGTACATATTTGAACGAATCGATGCATCACATTTTTTTATTGGGTATAAACTTGTATTTATACAATGAATAAGATATTTGACACCTGCAATCATTAGCAGTTAAAAATGAAGTTACTCGTAAATGCAAACGTGTTCTAACGGTCAAGCAGCTGCACTGGCCGAGTAGCACATGCATTGGGGTTTTTTACAACAGGAGACTTCGATCAAGATCAAAAACAAGGCGATGTCGTATTAGAATATTCATAGTTATGGCAATTCTTGGCTTATGAACATTAAGTAAAAACTGGTAGCAGTTACTAATTATTTACATTTTTATGATGATGCTTTATTGAAAAACAAAAAACATTCAACTCGATATTTGCTACCGAGTACAATTCTAAAAGTATGAGCCGTGCAATGCGATTATTAGTAAATAATATTAAAATCATCAAATACGCGTGTTTTATCAACATTTTATATAAATTTTATTGATGAGTTACAATACAAGATAACCCAGAAAAATTACTAATTACGATAACTAAAAAAATATACAAGTACGTTTTTTATACAGTGATTACTTAAAATGTCATTCTATGTATTCTGTTTGATTGATTTAATTTTAAGGACGTGTCGAATGAAAACATTAAAATAACTAAACCATTATTTTAACACTAATTAAGCTTAAAATTATGGTATAGATCGAGTCGGTGCAAAACAATATTGCCGACATATTACACGAAAGAACAGACTGCTGCAATAAATTAGTAGTTATTTAAATAAAACATGCACTTGGTCCAATTCGATAATGTGTACCTTTTGCGGTGGAATAAAAAGACTTTCCTATGCACTAGCAATACTTCATTATATACCTTAATTAGCAGTGGCAAAACTTTTGTCGATGGATAATTAAAAAAAACATATACAAAACACGTTTTCTGTAATTAATAAGGCACTACAGCGTATTTGGTACTTAGTCATGCGCTCAAGTAGCTGTTTCAAACATACACACAAAGTAATATATCTTCAATGAATACAATCGTGCGTTCTTCGGCTCTTTATCAATTTTCCTGTACTCACGGCCTGTGTCTAGTCGGCAAACTTGCAACGACCTGCACGGCAGTCCTGTAAGCGCCTCACAAATACACTTAATAACGATAACTACGTATTTGTATGTACACATCTCATATCTGTGTAATATTATACAGCTTTCTGCACTAAAACGATCTTTAACAATAACGACGTTCATTGCCAAATGACACGCTAAAACGTCAAGGGCGACATTTTCCAAAAACACGTTATGAATACGAAGAAGAAAACTCAGGAGAGGTGAGATTTGAGGGGGATAATCGACGACTGTGGTACCACTAGCACAATATCTGATTTCATCAGTGTCTTTTTGAGCCCCGTTTCTCTTTTCTCATCCCTTTTAATGTCAACTGAGATTACGCCGTATGACCTACAATATACACGTACATAAAACGTATTATAATTATTTAATTGTATTGTATATATACGCACAAAATATAAGACCAGCCAACCGACTCCGTACGGTTAGGTTTTCATGATAATCCGCCCTCGTCTTACTCCTCTCTCCCGCCCCGTTTAATTCATTCCAAAGACGGTTCATTGTTTCAATAGTGTGTTATGATCCCTCCAAATTCATAGGCTTAGGAGACTGCACGACCGCGACGTTAAGAGTGAACGGTTTACGATTTCAATAACTCAGATAAAAATAATCTGACAATATATGTATACATTTCATTTGTACGTATCACAGATACATTAACGAATCGAATTTATATATTGTACGACAATAAAGTAGCTTATTAATGTTCCGAGCGTTATATTAATAATTATAGCAACTCAAAAACTTTAGCAGTACATATCATTTTATTTTTAAATTTGGCATACAGAAATTATTTTAAAAACATGTTTGTATAATAAGTATTATTTATAAGTATATAATCATCAAATGGCATGTATACATTTGTTTTGAAAACTATAAAAGTAACCTTGTTTTGTTGACATGTTTTTTTTTGCTCTATCATTCTCTAAACACAATATAGTGTTATTGAATATGCTATTTTATTTGAACTATATTATAAAACATATCTAGGCTGAAAATAACCTTAGTAAAATCGACAAATTTATTGTCAATAGTGTTATTTAATTCTATTCNTATTTGAACTATATTATAAAACATATCTAGGCTGAAAATAACCTTAGTAAAATCGACAAATTTATTGTCAATAGTGTTATTTATTCATTATTGATTTACCCGCCATTTATTGGTTAAATAACGGGTTTTACATAAAAATTTACAGAGTACAATTTTATTTATTTTTTTAAGCCATAGTAAAAAATAATTATCTCTACGGGTAAATGGGAACCTATAATTAATTTTTCTATTTAATGGGAATTAAATTAAATACAATTATGACTAACCGACAACCAATTTTGTATTGTTACTTTTTGAGATTTTAACATTTGAGCATTCGAAAAAAGAGAGGAACGGGATAATTATTTAGCGACGCTTTATTTTTACCATAAGGCACAGATAAGATTTTACTACGTTGCGCAACCCTCTCATCTTTAAATAACAATTATGTTAACTCGGAAAGTAACAACACAAACCTAGTTTACAACCAGTTCAATTATATTTAGTACAATATCCATGTATAAAAATAATTATGAGTTCCATTCGATATTCGAAAGTACCCCTAAAATCTACAATTAAAAATACTTTTTTCTTTACCATAAACTTGATATTATTCTGGCTCATAGTAATAAATAATATTTTATTTAATACATTTATTATATTGGTTATACAAACACCATTATTTGTTTTATTTTAATTAACAAAGTAATTTTGTGGGCACAATTAATAACAACAATTATTTTATTGATTTGACAAAATAATAATAATAATTGGTTCTATTTTTATAGTGTTCTACGGTTGTACATAATATTAAAAAAAATACATAAAATACACTTCGCAAATAAAAATACACATCGTATAGTCAATGTAAGTCAATCAATAGTCATAAAATATAAAATATTATTACAGCCGTATCATTAACTCCTCTATTGTAAATAATAAATAGATAAAACTAATAATTATGATTTAACCATTTAGGTTTTACAAAATACCATTGTTATATTCCGATAAATTATTAGGTGACTTAAATAATAGGGGGAAGTGGCTTTCATTTACACTTATTAATCATTCAATAACTTATGAACGCACTCTAAATTAGAAAAAAAGTCAGATGAAACGATTTTGAAAATTAATAAACATTTTTTTAGCAAAATACTTTTTATTTAATACTGTTTCGATGAATTCTGTTTAGTATCGGAGTTTTTCACTACAAATATTTCATTACATCTTAGTGATAAGTTATCGTTGATAACATTTTGGGGTAAAAATACGATCATGCTAATTTTTTCTACATATTATCAATTCGCCAAAACTAATAAATTTATTAAAATTTTATAAACCATTTGAAAAAACTAAAAAAATGGCAATATGTTATTATTCATACATAATCGACTTTTTGTATTTCTTATTTTCGATGATTATAAAAACATGTTTTATATTTTAGTATTTAAACACATAATTCTAATTTTAAGAAAAATATAAACATTCTGAGAGTAATAAAACACAAATTACAGAATTTACTTTTATTATTGAATTATTGTATTATAAGCAAACAAAAGGAACTCTTATAGATTTAATTTTGTCATATAACTACTAAATATAACATTTAAAATGTTGAATTTAGAACATGGGTCAACAATTTTTTAATACTTAAAAACATTAACCACAACTTCTTAAATTACGTTAATTAAAAAAAAAAATTCATTTTAAAATAATATTTATTTTAAAACATCAAAGTTCCTTACATTTTAGTTAAATATTAAATTAACAATATTATTATCGTCGTGGAAGTTATTATATAATTTATAGGAAAATCATTAAAAGAAATATGATTAGACTAGTTAATTGAAATCAAAGTTAATCATGAGCATACTTATGATAGATTAATTGGGACTTCCGTTTAAATTCTAGCGTACATCACTAAATCAACTACAAAAATGGATAATCTATTCTAAACAACATTTCTTTTTTCTTTATAACATTACAACTAAGAATACATTATTTGTCCAACCAAAAACAGATTCTGGATACTAATGTATGAATATTTTTCACTACAGTAGCAATTTAAATACGAGACAACTAAAATCGTTCCAGATAAAAGAAATGCAGATTATCTATTACTAGTATAATCGAATGCACACCAGAAAAAAGTCATTAGCAATTCATAGGAAATATTCGTGACAACTTAAAATAAGTATTGCATTTTTCGCACATGTTATGCAATTATTTTAATGTGTGGTCATTAGTGTCTCGATATATCTACAGAGAGTGTTATAGTGTCGAGTGTTTAATGATTCATTGAGCCCAAATTACCATAATTAGCAGCGTACAATCTACCAAATACTATAGAGATATTTTCAATTATGAACCTATTAGACCATATAGCCAACGTAGAAGATGGAAACGGATTTATTAAAACGTTTTGCTAACGTACAATACACATTACAGTCGGTTTCTTAGGCTCCGGTAATTATGTACAACAAATCTATTGTGTCTAAAACTATTTGATCGAATACAAATAGGAAGCAATGCAGTTTTCCAATTAATTGTTTAAGGAGAATCACTGCGAGAATATCTGCAGATTTATTTGCACATCTTCATGAAAAACGTCATCAAGTTAAACAACGTTATCAAACTACGTTAACGTTAAAAAATTAATAAAACTGCTAATTTCATAAAATGTATTGAATAAAAACACATTAATTATGTCTGTACAAAAATATACCGAACTTTTCCTACGACAAAGAAATTAAAAATGTTTGGGAAAATGAGTTTTTTTTTTTTTATGGGAATTATTAAAAAAGCTTTAATTTATTTAAATATATAAACTGGAAAATGACCGCCGTCATGAGAGAATACATAGTTTTTATTTAAGAAAACTGTAGTAAACGTACTGAACTTACCTGTTGTCCGGGGGTTGGATACGCGTAACCGAACTGAGAATAAGCCGACATGGTAACCATTTGTGTTGAGTTGTGGTTATACTTGTGTCTGGGCGAAAATTTATTTGATTTTTCGAAAAATTAAAATAATAATAATATTACAATCAGTTTTTGACCGTTTCCTACGATGACGCGGACGAGTTATGTGCCTATCTTACTTCCATGGCGAAACACGAGTACAGAACATATTACACGTTAGCATTTGATTTCAAAATTTACTTCCAGTTAAATAAAATAATAAACAACCAGATTCACTACCCTTACGCGTGACTGGCGCCTCAGTGGAGTCAGGGCACTTGATGTGCGTGCCACAGAATAATGTAGCGCAACGTTAGTGTTCGGTGTCGGTATGTGGACGGGCGCACGCTCGGCACGCACTGAACGGTCTCTAGACGGCGACTGAACGTTGAGCGGCCGGTGTGCCGCCGTCCACCGTGCCCCGCTCGTTGCCGCCCACTCGGCGACCGCGTGGACGTGTCCCTCGTGGGCCAATAGCTTGGCCGCGATACGCCCCAACCCCTCCCCACGACGGCCTTCTCTACTGCAGTAATAGTAAAACATTTTTGGATGTAGTAATTTTTTTTATCACTCCGGACATGCAAACGTGCGGACAGAAATCAAATCGGTACACTGCGTCAATTATAATAGTACCTCAACAATAGTGGGATTCGTAAAAAAAAAAAATGTTGATTTTTTTATAATATTCAACTCGTGTAGAGCTTATTTACTTTTCGTTATCGGAAGTGTATCGAAATTTGACTGTGTAAACGGTGTACCAAAACAAGTTTTTCCGGCCTCCTTCGCTCTTTTTATAACATGCCATCAATAACAGCGATGCACACGCGAATATTGATAAAACATAACGCGATAAACGATTGTGTAGGCATAATAAAATGTGTATAATATTAATGTACACGACTACTATACACGGTCTTTAATACATATGCTGTGTGCTCGTACCGGGAAAATGCTTTTGATGTGTGTACTCGACGCGTACAAGTCATAGTCAAAGGAAGAAATAATTATTTACCCATATTTATCGTAGACTTAGTCCTGGCGATGCGTTCCCAGTAAATATAAATCCGAGGAGACTATCTTAGTACGAATAAATTAAGCACAACGTATCTCGGAGCAAAGACAGTTTTAAAATATTATCAACACAACACCTGTCCATTCGTATAAATACTTCATTGGAATTAGTCTAAGAATTCTGCTTAACGATTTCCATTTTCTTTCGCCGAGTCAATGGACACAACCAACGTATGAAAAACTAAATAAATTCATAATGAACCTAAATAATTAATGACTTTTTAATTGTTGAGTGTTAAATATCGACTATATTTTTAAAGCAACAAAACTTTTAAATTACTACATTAATTTTGTTTTTATTCTCGTAGTTTTATACTTGTAAATTTCACAATTTTTTGTCGTAAACGACAATGTTTATAATTATACATGAGCGACGTTGGGTGTATTAAAATATATACCCATGCCACTAAAAAAATGGCCAACCCTGCTATTATATTAGAACAAAGAGAAACTTGGCTTTTTATTCATAAACTTGCGAGTTGTAATTAAAAATGTAATCATATCTGATAAGCTAATGCTAGCCGTGGCCATTGCGGGTCGAGCTATAATTTTGAAAGAGTGCCTATAATTTTGCATTTGAAAATTATTTAAATCATACGACCGCGTGTCAGCCGGCACTACAAACTAGACATTTTATAGCTGTCCGCGGTCAACTTGGAGATAATTTATGCCAAGCCTAAAAAATCAAAATAGCAGTTTACCGCTTAGGTACATATATACAATATATAAATGTTAAATTTGAATTGTAAGCACTGTATTTCTTTCCAGTGTAGAGTTTTATTTCCTTAGTGTTGACAAGGGCAAGAATACAGCGGGTACACGCTATTGTATAAAGAGCCTTTTGTGATATATATTTTTTAGAGGCATTTTTCTATTATATCATACTGGCATGTATGTACCCTTTTTACGCCCAGACAATGAAATAGCACTTCTTTCAGGAGAGTCGCAAACCTTTTCCGCCAAAAAGGAATTCGTTTCGCGGACAACGTTTAGTAATTGAACAACAAACGTAAAAAGAACGTGACCCGTAGCCGAATTTATACCGCAGTGTGTATGCATTTGAGGTAAGTATGGCTAATATTTTTTACTACTACCTGCATTGTTATGATAATTCGAAATGAAGTCGATCACCATTTATTAAATTGGATTACGAGATAAAATATCTGTTATCGATTCGATTAACATAAAGTGTTCATTAAGAAGATGTTCATTAAGAAGATTTAATGGAAATTTACCGGATGTATGATTCAATATGTTAACTCACCTAGTATGGTCGTACAAATGCGTACATTTTCAGTATAATTAATTTGTCATTATTAAATTTAATAACACGTTCTGCCCAAGGCACACAACATTGTGTTTGGGGAACAATATTGTAAATAATTAGCGTGTAAAACAAAAGTTTAAATATGTAATTATATTGTGTACTTCAAAAATAACCACGGAACACGCACAAAATAATACTTGGAACAATATTTGTAATAATAACGCTAATACTTTAGGCTCAAACACATTAACTGGATTTTAATTGTATAATCTGAAGAGAATCGGGTTTTTACGTTTAATAATTAGTCGTTCGACTCATCCCACTCATCAATTTCTGAACATCACAACACCACCTTTTGACAAAACCACATTATCTTTTAAAACACTGACTTCCAATCTTTAATTTAAAAAATAATATGATTCATGTTACAAAAAGTTTATTGGATGTATTTTAATGATGCATTTGTTGTTTATACCGGAAGAGTTTTACAGTGATTTTAATCGCAAATATTATAAAGATTTTTACTCGAAGTAATTATGTGCGGTAATTTACTCTGATATTTTTTCGCCAGAAAAAATAGACAGACATAATTTTATTCATCATTATCATAGGAATTTACTAGAATTTATTGTAATGTTGTTTTGTCATTATAATAGAATAGTACAAAAGTTATTTTTCCATCAAAACTCATCTAGCCTTTCGTTGTTAAATTACTGCGATTAAAACGAATAACAACGTACAAATAAATAATTATTCTTCGTTGAAACAGAAATGTTTTTTACTAAAGTTTAATTTCATCGCATTAAATATATAAAAATTAAAAATATTTGAAATATACTCTTGATTTTGATATTAGCCACAAGTGATCAATTCTTATTATACAAAATATATAATTTGCCAAATAATTAAAAACGTCTCGAATTCGATGAATTTTGTTTTCAGAGATACCAACCGGGTGGGTCACAAAACACATTGTAGTCTTACCCAACCGCCATCACAAAGGTTACACTACGAATGATTTTTCATGACTTGTTAGAATAATTATGGAGTTGAATACTCGAGAAAACACTATAATTATAGTAATTATGAATATTCACACATTAAATAACATGTAAGGAATGTAACAGTAAAAATATAATTGGTAGACATTAATAAGTATTGTACTAGTGTTTTGTTTAGAAATGCAACGCACCGTGTAACATAACAATATTCAACCATTGAACCAAATATTAAGATAATAATAATATGAATGATTAGATAATTAATGACAGTTTTATTTTAATCTTGACTTTATGCGGCATCCGATAAATAAATGGCTACTCCAATTACATTACTGTGATGTTTAATTGAACCATACTGAAATTAAACCTGTAAGTAAAAATAGTAGTTTCCTCGGTATATGACCGACCACCGATGATGTAATGTACAACGCAAAAGTTGTTGTATTTTATTTTCATGTGTCATATTATACTATGAGCGGCCATATACAAGGGGCAAATAAAAAATAAAATATAACGTAATGTATAGTATACTAGAGTGATTGGGTTGTAGAAGGGAAAGGGTCATATAATGCAACGTTGTTAGTTTTGGAAAATATACACACTGTAAAGAAACATATAGTATAATATATCACGACCAAAAAAAAAAAAAGAGGAGGGATCATTTTTTATCTGAGTGCTAAAAAACGCAATAAATCTCAGTTTTTTATTTTTATTACGCGCCGCTGACGTGTAAAAATTAATATTAAAAACTCGCCTACGCCTCTCATATTGTTTTCGTTCATTACAAGTTCATGCTAAAAATGTTATAATTGTTTTTTACACATTTACTATGCAGTTATACACAGTTCGGACGTCCGTTACAGGCGAACAAGACAACTTGGTTGAGTTAAGAGGTCAAGGTTTGAACGAAAAATACAAAAGCATAACATTTATTGGAAAAGGTTAGACTTTTTTAGTTATTTACACGGACTGACAACAAAATAACTAATGCGCCGTCGATTGATTCCGAATAAAAACGAAAGCAAAACAAAAAACGTTACACTCAGATTTGTGCAAAATGAAAATAAATTCGACAGCGACGTTGGCAGAAGGAGGTCTTGTCGCAGACAACAAGGCATAATACACGATATGGCACAATAAGGGTATTTATTTTGATATTTCATACCTAATGGGTTTCAAAAGAGCACCGGAGAGGTACCTCAAACGCGTGTACAAATATAACCCTTATAACCTGTCAAGCAATAAAGAACGACGACGACGAAGACTTGAGTTGTGGTGACAAATTTTTTTGGACCTGGACAGGCGGAAACCGATACCGGTTTTTAGTCGTCTGCTGGTCACACACACACACACACACACAAACGCAGTACTTTATAATCCCAACGGCGGCAGAACAGGAGACACAAGGACACACATTTTATAATAAGAGCTTGGAAACCGATATCTCTTATTCGGGGCGACAGCGGGCGCGATAGGTATTATAAATCCGCAGTTCAGGCCGCACCTATGTCTCTTTACATGTATACAGTACTAACGACATGTACATTTTGTCCTAGTGTGTGTATACTCCTTCGATTCCCATTCAAAACCCGATCAGGCTTCTCTGATAAATAACAAAAATAAAATACTCTACACGTATATTATGTAGTAAAAAAAAAAAAAAAAAAAA